TACCCAAAACCGATCTACAGTAATGTTCACTGATATGTTCAAAATCGGATTTAAATTGGAACGATGCATCAACCCTCGTCTCCCATCGCTGGCGGAGGTGTGCTCAGGTAGCCGCATCTTAGTAGACACGGAAATAGATAAACTCAACTAGAGGAAAGAAAAGAAACATAGTTCAATGAGATGCCGTCAGGATAAAAAATAATCACTCAATAATGAACATTCTCAAATGGAATACCAGTGAATTGCTTGATTAGGATTATTTGAACTAGGATTAATTTAAGTTATTTTCGGATTAATCCTAGGACGTTCAAGATATGAGAAGAGCAACGTCTGCTTAAGGGAAGTTCGTTTTGTATCCATGTAAGAAAAAGTGCTATAAATATTATTTTTTCTGTTCTCGAGGTATGTTTATTTATACAACACTGTTAAATAATACATTTAGGTACCTGCGAAAATAAAATATAAAAAAATTGTTTTTCACAAAAATTGTTTTCTGCAGTTTTTTAAATCTTTCAACGCCTGTAGCTTGATTTTGGATAAACCGATATCGATCACATTTTTTAAATTTTCGTCATAGGCTAAGATACGAAAGTTAAAAAACGAGAGATTTTTTTCTTTGTTATTCCTTGTTTCTTTAAATCGGATGATATAGTTTTTTATTCATATATATTCTGATAGAGCCTCTCCAGACGAACACCATGACCTATAAAAGAGAATCATTGAAGGTTACACAAGGTCAACTGTAATAAAAAATAAATTGTCTCAAGCGACATGTCTTGTAATCGTTCAATAAGTGTATCTCTGAATCTAAATAAACATAGTATGACGTCGTACCGGTACTTTGGCGCGTATTTCGGTTTCTACGAGGATTTCAAAGGTACAACCAAAAATACCGTTATGACACCGGTATTTTACATTTCGATTGAACCAACTGTCCGGAACAATACGCTTCCAAAGTTGCAGACGCAAAACGTGAGCGAAACCATCATTCAATTAACCCGTTATTGAGACATGGCTGGATAAAATGTAACAGGAAACAACGTTCTAAACGGAATGTAATATGTACTTCTTGCCGCTAATTTACTGCTAATCCGTCACGCAATCTTCGTTTATTCATTAAAATATCCGTTAATTACCACCGAAGCGTATCGCGGAACGCCGTAAATTAATCAGCCCATTAATAGCGATCGAAGGAGTGCGTTTTTCTTCGGGGTTCCGATGAACCGATCGCCTCGCTCGATTTTCCCGGATCGATAGATCCTTTAAACACAGTGTTACGCCTGTTGGGATCGCATGAACCAGTTCAGTTGTAGGATTATCGTGCTTCATTCGTCGTTTTCCTCGGCTTTTCTATCTCCTCCCTCGGATATCGTTCTCCATCGACGTCGATTTCTCTGTTACGATCTTCGTTTATCTTCGCGTTATCTCGAGACCGGCTCGCTCGAAACGCTACACACCACGCGAAGTAACTTGAAATAATTTAATTATCATCACTCGTAATCTATTTTCTCTTCGATGTTCTCTTTGAGGCATCGCTTTCTAGCGCCACGGTCGTTCGACGCGTCCTTTTTTACGCCAGTCTTTCGCCGATGCTGTTAACGATCTTGGTATTCGATACTGGGCTAGTCGATTTTTACACCGACTTTTTCCCTCTGTCAAGCGAGACAGGTTTATCTTTTTGCCGGGAGCCGACCCTTTCTCTCGGTCTTCCTCGTTATCTATTCCGATGCGCCCGTTTCTTTGCGCGACACTCTGTTTGCTTCTTCGCCGTGCCTTTCTTCCATTGTCCAGCCGCTTCTTTCCGTTTCTATTGTACGGGCATCTTCTCTTGTCCGAAATTTCCCTAGCAGCTAATGGTTGCTCGAGTTTTAATTGCTACCTTTGCCATCGCTACGGGGCTCTTCGAGGAACCCTTTCTTCCGCTCCGCCGCGTTCGATTGTTTCGTTGGTATGAACCGAAAAACTAGATGGATGCAGAACTATGGACACGTAGAAGTACACACCCGGCAATAAGTATCCGAACACTACTGGTTTTGCACGGGAAGTTCATCCCAAAGGACGATCGTGTCCGACTTATTTCAAATGGAACTCACCGCTCCGCCAGTCAAACTCGTGTAGGATCAACCGCATGGCAATTTAAATCCACCGTGAGGCAGTTTCCAGAGACAATTAAAAGATGCCTTTAAACAAGGTAGAATTATCTTAGCACGTTCTCTAAAAAATGAATGAGTGGAACGTATGGAATAATCAACAAACATCTTGGAAGGGGATATAATAATCTCAGAATATTGATGAATAAAAATGAACAATTTGGGTTTCTTTCTATAGTTATTGACAATCGGTAACTATACAGAACGAGTAGCAAGGCTCGAATAATCGTACCTTCTCTTCCCAAATTCTCCATTTTTGTGTACAAGCTGAGTGTCAATTAGGGAGAATTTACTGTACCGTTTTATTACCATCGAACAACATGAACTTTGATTAGTTTTCACTGGAACTTCCATTACCGTTCCCATCGGAACACACGATGTGAGGACGTTCTTTAACACGTTGAATGCCACGGGGGTCACCGGTGACCGGCACCTAACTTGGCGGTGACGCCATGGGGGTCACCGGTGACCGGCGCGCCCAAATTGATAGGAATATATATAATTTAAAACAAATATCAATATCTAAAATTTTGTATTATTACCATCGTCAATTCAAACAGTGTTATAACAGTTTATCCGTGCCGTCGACTATTTACTAGATGTTCGTATACTTATGGCCGAGAGTGTATGCAGATAATTTACGAAACATTTTGTATACGAATTAAATGGTGTGCAAAAGTCGTTTTTATTAATTATCTATAGTATATTAGATCGTGATATTGAGATGATTCACGGACGAATAGTCTGAAAGGGGTCATAATATGAAATAAATAACTTTCCCGTAGGTGGACGTGTAAAGGTCATGTAAAAATTATCGACGTTTTCTTAAATGGATATATACATTTTTTTGCATATATCGAATTCTTTCTTTATTCTGCATAAAAAAATGTTACGGTAATATTAACGAAAAATGAATAGTTCAAATGATTTTTTGAATATTATGCTGAACATTCTTGAGCAATAGGCAGGTTTTGTAATTTCTTTCTTGAATAATATGGTCATATTCTTCGACCAGAATTAATCAAACAGAAGCCACGTGAAAGAAACAAGACGATATAACGTAACATTACATCATCCACAAATTGGTTTAATAAAATATAATGAACGTCTACAATCGAAGTAAAAAGTACATGTAAAATGCGACAATTTATTACTATAACTCCCGATGTACATGAAAAAGTTAAGACAGTAGAGGGATTAAATTGNTAAAAAATGAATGAGTGGAACGTATGGAATAATCAACAAACATCTTGGAAGGGGATATAATAATCTCAGAATATTGATGAATAAAAATGAACAATTTGGGTTTCTTTCTATAGTTATTGACAATCGGTAACTATACAGAACGAGTAGCAAGGCTCGAATAATCGTACCTTCTCTTCCCAAATTCTCCATTTTTGTGTACAAGCTGAGTGTCAATTAGGGAGAATTTACTGTACCGTTTTATTACCATCGAACAACATGAACTTTGATTAGTTTTCACTGGAACTTCCATTACCGTTCCCATCGGAACACACGATGTGAGGACGTTCTTTAACACGTTGAATGCCACGGGGGTCACCGGTGACCGGCACCTAACTTGGCGGTGACGCCATGGGGGTCACCGGTGACCGGCGCGCCCAAATTGATAGGAATATATATAATTTAAAACAAATATCAATATCTAAAATTTTGTATTATTACCATCGTCAATTCAAACAGTGTTATAACAGTTTATCCGTGCCGTCGACTATTTACTAGATGTTCGTATACTTATGGCCGAGAGTGTATGCAGATAATTTACGAAACATTTTGTATACGAATTAAATGGTGTGCAAAAGTCGTTTTTATTAATTATCTATAGTATATTAGATCGTGATATTGAGATGATTCACGGACGAATAGTCTGAAAGGGGTCATAATATGAAATAAATAACTTTCCCGTAGGTGGACGTGTAAAGGTCATGTAAAAATTATCGACGTTTTCTTAAATGGATATATACATTTTTTTGCATATATCGAATTCTTTCTTTATTCTGCATAAAAAAATGTTACGGTAATATTAACGAAAAATGAATAGTTCAAATGATTTTTTGAATATTATGCTGAACATTCTTGAGCAATAGGCAGGTTTTGTAATTTCTTTCTTGAATAATATGGTCATATTCTTCGACCAGAATTAATCAAACAGAAGCCACGTGAAAGAAACAAGACGATATAACGTAACATTACATCATCCACAAATTGGTTTAATAAAATATAATGAACGTCTACAATCGAAGTAAAAAGTACATGTAAAATGCGACAATTTATTACTATAACTCCCGATGTACATGAAAAAGTTAAGACAGTAGAGGGATTAAATTGCGGATACTTATGCATTTATGGCATCTGCAAAATTACAAATTGCAAGAAAACGAACATACTGAAGAAAGTTAATTGCAATATTCTTTTATGCTTGCCGCAAGGAATCTTGTAGTCAATCTGAAGAACAGTATCCTTACTCGGGTTTTGAGGAAACAATAAATACGTGAGAAGAAGAAATTGCATAAAGTTTCGCGGTCTTATAATTAATTATAAATCCAAATAAGCGTCGTCCGATATAACAGGAGAAACTGCTCTTTGGTGCAGGAAACGATTAGAAAACCTAGAATGATTTATTAGTTGACAATAGTGAATAAATCATTTCGTTTTTCGAGTCTTTTTGGAACGAAATTAGCAGTTCTTCCTGTTATCGACGACAACGGACCCGATGCATGAAATCGTCGTGGCGAGACGTTGCGCTGTCTGCGATCTGGAACACCTCCGCCGACAGAAGTTCATTTCCTGTCAGTTCGCCGGTTAATAAGGTTTCCTGTTGCTCGGTTCCAGGGACGAGGCGTAGGATGGGCCGGACCGTGCGAGGAGTCGTGCTACACTGAAGAGGAGGAGCTCCCCGAAGACGAGAGAGAAGGAGGAAGGAACGAAGGATGCCTGCCTCGCAGACCGCCGCCACGGAGCGGCGAAATGAGAGGACGGTGAGTGTCGTCTTGATATCATTCGGTATCCTTTGATATCGTTCGATATCTGTTGCGATTTAAAGACGCGATTCAGACGCGGCTAATAATTTAATAGGGTCGCGAGTACCTACTTATCATTCATCAGACATTGTCTAATAAATTAGCCTCGCTAGCATCTCCTTTTTTCAATCATTTCAATCAATTGCAATTTTTGAACAAATTTCGCAACAAATCTCGCAAACAAGTCAGTCTAATATTTAGAACAAAATATTCCAGTCATTTAATCAAATTTTCAAAAAGTTACTACGTTTCAACGAGTTAGCTGTTGCGACTTCTTTGAGAAGCACGTATAATTATTTGTATTTGTTTATTTGTTCGTTTTATTTCGCCTTGGGCTCCAAATATTCGAAACATAATAAAAATTACGAATATATTTTAGTTCTCAATGAAACAGCAGTAAAGGTTTCGAGTCGAATAATTATCGATCTTTTTTAAAATCCAAATTACTCAAAAGTCCACGTAATATCGCCACCTAAATATCTCTTCCAATAGCGATGTTACAAAAAATGTTTTATCGAGGGTTAATAAAACAAATAAACGTTTGAATTAATTGTCTGAAACTAGTTAGCCAAACAACAATATTTATACTTTGGGTGCAGATGGGCTCATGCTACGCTCTCCGAATGTTGCAAAAAATCTGAATGCGGTCTTTGCATCAATTCACTGTTATTCTCAGTAAACGTTTCTAGTACATATTCGAAGTCGAAGATTCATTTCCTCTCATCTGTCAACGATTCGTTTTGACCTATCCTTTCTCAAGTGGACATTGACACTATGACACGACATGACACTCCGCTGGAGTTGCGCCCTCTTACCGAAGAAATTTCCGCTGCAAGCAAATCCCAAGTGGAATTCAAGTAGGGTTCGTTGCCTAGCAAGGAAATCCAGATAATGTGTCACTGCGAGCCTTCGTTAACACGAATGCGCTCTAGGATCATTCTGACAATAAATTGTAATCTTACGTTTGTTAATGTACGCCGAATAAAAGAAAATTGGAAGACATTGCAACACAATGCAAATAATGAATAAGGATAATTCCTAGTTTTTTAAGTCTTGATTATGAATATTGTTGTACTGACAAGGTGAAGAGGGAGATTAAATAGAATTTTTTCTTTTCAAATTTTCAGATTACACACGAGCCGCCAAAATTGAAAACCACTCTGAAAACGCCTCCAAAACAAGCAACTAATCCTCTTCAATTTGTCAAAGTTGGACCATGCTCCTTGTACCGTACCGCTCAGGAGCAGCTCCAGAAGGTCCAAGAGGTGAAGAAAATAAAACAAGAGGTCCGCGATGACCCGGAAGATTGGCAATCGGTATAATAAAAAATTCATCATAAATATATTAATATTCACCACGAACAATAAGTTTACCATTGGACCGTGGATGTTACGTATTTACGTAAAAAATGAGAAAGTGAAATATAAAACGGAAGAAGTATTTAAAAAATTCAAGAATGTCGATATTATTCATTTTATAGTAAACTGCCGTATCCGGAAATGAGAGGTTCCATAGGTCAGTTGCAAAAACTTTTTCCTTAGCGAAAATACAACCCGCGGCATTGTTTACGAGTTATTAACGAAAAGCAGGGATCAATGAGAGGCGAGCTCGGCTGACGGTAAGCGGCGAAAACAACGAGCGGTCGAAGCCCAGTTCCGCTCATTGGCTCGGCCGTCTCGCGCCAAATGATCTCGTCTCTGATTGGTCACTGTTTTTCGTTAATAACTCGCAAACAAAGCCACGGATTGCATTGTCACTAACGAAAAAATTACTTCAAATGACCTCAGGAATCACCCCTTTCCGAGCATTAACATAATTATATGAGACCCTGTATAACACGTATAGACCCTATACTATAGTCTGTATAGTTCTACAAATAACATCAGGTCACAATTATTTTCTCTGTGGACTGATTTATTAGAAATATTGATTTATTAGAAATATACTTAACCCTTTCGCGAGTAAGAAATTTTTAAAAATGCACATAGTTAAGGGGTAAGCATTGTTACACAGTATAAAAAGGTTTGGCTTAGGACTCAGTTAAATAACAAATTATACGTGCGCGTCCTTGTTCTTTCAGGGAAAACAATTTGGTTCGTTCGTATACGACCGTACTCGCGAATAGGTTAAAGTATAATCAGTCAAAGTGAAATCCGAGGGATATAATTATTGAATATATTGATGCATAGCTGGCGATTTGTTTCTAGAATTTGGACAATTGGAAGAGCAGTCGAAGGAAGCGTCAAGAGCACATAATCGAGCGAGTGGTGGAGGTGAAGAAACTCGAATTGGAGGAACACGATCGGCAGCGTCGTCGAAGTAAAACTTTCTCGGAAATGATGGAAGAGAGAGGCAACCGGGGTCGCAAACTGAGCATCAGCCTGGCCATGTATCACGAGGAAGATGCTAACGACTTGAGTGACCTTGGCATAGGCACCAGCAGCGGAAAGAGCTCGGTCAGCGGCGACACTCACGATGACACGCACAGTGTCCTGGTAAGATGAGCGCATCCCTCAGTAGTAATATACGTATTAGAGACTGATTCATGCTAGATTGTGTATCTGGACAAACTAAAGATCTCGTTCAATTTTCCTACCGTTTCAAACGTCGCTCATTGATTTTTATCATAGATCCCTTAATGATCCCTCACGGGTTCCATGTGACATCTCCGCTTCTTACAATTAATATTTAAAATTAAAATTACCGCTTAACACTACCACTTAAATCTACCGCTTACAACCAACGCTGAAATTCTAACTCTTACAACTAACGCAACTCTTCTCTTGTTCACTCTTTCTCTCGCTCTACCTCTCCTTTTTTCTCTCCCTTTTACTGCATTCTCTCAAATTCCATATATAGTCTTCCACTCTACATATAGTCTCCCGCCATTCGCTCTCCATTTCGTTGCTTTCTCGACTTTCATTCATTCTCCAACCTCCGATTCTGTTTGTTCCATAATTTTTTTCATTTTTTTACTCTTACTCTTTTTCTTTTCTCCTACGCTCATCATTTACTCCCTTCCTCCTCCCTTCTCCTCTTCCTCCTTCAGCTCCTCCTCAATTTCCACTATTTCTTTTCTCCTCTAAACTTTTAATCCACCCCTTTTGATCCAAACCCAGCTGTTTTAAATTTGTAATTAATTTTCTTTTATTTCTACCTATACTAGTCTATTCCCGTACTACCTTGTTCACTTCTCCAAGTTGTCATTTCCTTATTCCATTCTTCTTTTAACCCTTTGCATCTCTAAATGTGATAAATTATCTCTTCTGCCTGTCTACACAGTCTATACTAATTCTGTGTTCTCTTCTTTTTTATACCATTGTAACGTGTTATTTGAGGTTGCAACGGAAGGACACAGAGTGTTTGTAAAATTCAACTGGACTTTATTTTTGCGTGGTAGACAGATGACGCGCGGTCCGGATGTTCGGCGGAATAGTTAACAAGAAGAAGCTTGTGCAGTTTCTTGCCTCCGTTATTTATATTCTTTCCCTTGCGACTTGCTGACTTGCCCCTTGGAGACTTGCTGTCTTTCTTTTATCCCCATCCAGTTTGGCGGGGGAGAAAGCTATCGTCCAAACTTCGTTGTAGGGCCGCGCTGGCCGTTCGACCGGGTAGGTCTGCTGTGCACGTAGAGGTGATAAAAAAATAAAGGAACAAAGTAATTTCCGGTGCTTGCAAACGTCAAGGACGTTTTCTCTCTGCCGAAACCTTGGCATCTGCAACCGGACAGTTTTAATGGTTATTACGGTCGCCGACCGTGTGCCGCTACACCATTTTTTCCCAACATGTTCATACTTGAATCTTGCTCATTGTTCCTTGTGTCACTTTATTCTGACATTTTTATCTTATCGCCTTCTTCCTAATCTTTTATTTATCACAGTTGGTTCATCGGATCCAGTCTCTTGCGGCATTTTCTGTTTCATTATATTTAACAAATCATCCACCAATACTTTAGTTATCTGTTCTATTAATTCGATCGTCTTTGTCCTGCTCAATATACTTCCAATTTCCTATCTCGTACAATGCTTTCTGAAGGACCTTGTTGGTTTTCCTCTTTCTGTTTTCTCTTTTAGACATATTTTTAGCCATCTTTCACTGCTTATTTCCATTATATTCATGTTTCTATTTTCCACACAGGGTGGTCCACACAACTTGAGATCTTCATTCAACATCCAAAATATGCGTTGGGCAAAAAAGTATTCTATATAAAAGTTGCATTGTTTAAAGAGGCACACTATGAAGTCCATTTACTTTTTTTATAGGTGGTGGCGTTTCGGAGAGTTGAAGGTCAACTTTTTTTTCTTAAATGAAATTCTGTATCTTTTTATGTCAGAATATGGAAAAATATTGAATTCTGAGTAAAATTGTATTGGCCTTTATTAGTCCTAAACCTAATAGTTAACGAGTAATTTCGCTGTATTTCTTGAAAATTTTGCTCACGTAATGTCAAGTTGGTGAGTCAACCTTATCGCAGATTTCCGCAGGTCAGGAGAAAGTGAAGAAAAATTTCAAAAAATAAAGTGAAATTATTCGTTAGTTATGAAGGTTTAGGGTTAATATAGGTCAATATTATTTTGCTCAGAATTCGATATTCTTCCATATTCTAATATAACATGTACGGTAGTATAGTAGTATAGTGCCATTAAAGGAAACAAAGATATCTTAAAATTTCCAAAAGGCCTCCACCTATAAGAAAATAAATACACATAGTATGCTCTTTAAACCACGCCACTTCTATATGCAAATTTTGTTTGTCCAACGCATATTTCGAAAGTTGCATAAACCACACTGCATGTATAGACCCACGTATTCCTAGTCCAAAAGTCATTTTCATAGTTTTGTCATCAATCTACTCTATTTCTTTCGGCAAAGCATCCAGCAGGAGTGAATGCCAACTCGATATCCTGCTAAACCCTTTAGAATGTCAAACATGAAGTGTAATAGTAGAGGCTAAATATCTGTAAACCCACGAAAACCTTTAACGTGAAAATATGGACTCAAATAAAATTATTGTTATTATTGTAACGATTCTTATATCTAAAATCACGAGATTTCACGAAAAAAAATGCTTGATCTATTTTTCAGAGCGACAGAGACAGCGAGATAGAGAAGAACCACTCGGACCTGGACAACGTGCCAAGCGAGAGCGTGATCGGCAACGACGTAACAACATCTTCGGCGACCACCGTGTCCTCGACGACCACGACGACGAAGAAGCCGTTCGGCAATGGTTTCCACAGCAGTCACAACCACAACAACCAGGAATACGACTCTGCGACAACTGCGACGACCAGCTCGCCGGAGCCAGAAGAATACACGTACGAGGGCGCGATCCGCAGCTACGTGACGAGGGTGTCGCAGAACATACCGCGACGATCTCTGGTCGGCCTGGACGTGAAGCTGGAGAGCACGAAGTTGTCGACGAACGGCTCAAAGACGAGTTTGAACGATGAGACCAAGTCCACCATACCCGTGGTGAAAGTGGACATACTGAAGAGGCGGGAGATCTTCGAGAAAGCGACACTGAAGAACAACGAGGGCAAAGCGAACAACAGGCTCTCCGGCGACTTCACCGGCACGAAGTCGATCAAGGAGAGGCTCTCGAACCTGGAGAAGCAGAAACACGAGCCGGAGAGCAACGAGAAGAGCGGCAAGTCCTTGAACCGACTGTCCGGCGATATGAGCTCGATCCGTGAGAGATTGTCACATCTGGAGAAGCAAGCTACGGAGAGGGAAAGCAAGAGCTCCGTTCATCGCAAGCTGAGCACTGAAGAGCTGGAGACCGTCAGACCGCTCAGAGAGAGACTGTCGACCCTGGAGAAGTATAGCAGCAGCGACGAGTCATCTGTTCCAGGGACCGCCCACGAATCTCGGCACAACGGCGAGCTATCCGCCAGGACGATAAAGGACCGGCTGAGCGCCTTAGACGCGGTCAGAAGCAAAGAGTCCACCGAGAAGAGATCCTTCGTCGGGAAACATTCGCTGTGCTTTCGAGACCAGGAGAACAGAATCGACACTTCCACCCCCAGCGAGAGAAGCTCTTCGCCCGATTCAGAGTATCGCGTGCCGAGAACCGCTTTCCACAGGAGCCTGGACTCGCTGGACGCCGATGCCTCGAGCGGCCCCGACACTTTCGAGCGTGTACAAAGCCTAGAAGAGCTCGATTACGGTAGACGTTATCCGGCGTCGTCTTCCTCTGCGGAGCTTCTGAACGACACGGATCGAGAGGATTCCGGGATCCACACGGCTGACGTCAGCTGCTCCGTCAGCCAAGCTGACGAGCCGGTGGACGAGGATATCGTGCACGCTAGCGCGATCATAGAGAGGCAGGAAGTGATCGAAGAGAAACCGGAGGAGCATCGTGACGTTGAGACGGCAAAGGAAATCGTTGCTGAACAGAGCACTACTGTGCCTGATGTCCCGAACAGTTCTGCCAGCCAACAGGAGGCAGTAGTAACAAAGAAGGTAAGTCGCATGCGCGATCTTCTATCGATTTAGTTCGATTTTAAGCGTTGTCGTATCTATTGATCCGGGTCCTGTGAAAGCTCAATCGTTACGTGGGATATATGTATAATACATACGTATTCGTCGTTGCTTGAGGATTTTGGAAGGTTCGGTTTAAATGGCTTTCGTCAAAATTGTGAGGTCGTTCTACGGCAATGTCTCAGGCAGCTGCTTCGGATTAAGCTGAAATTCTTTGATCAAAACGGGAATCCGTTGTGGATTTTATGCGTTTAATGAGAAAATCGGCTGAATGTAACTTGAAACAGCAGAAACATTTAAAAAATTAAATGATTATTCTACCAAACATTGTTAAAGAGAAAGCAAATCCTAAAAGTAGCTCCGTGTTTTGCCAAAACATGTTTACGATTATATGAACAGTATACAAGTTCTAGAATATCAATCTACGTTCTAGACAAATATTAATTAATTCGATTGGCAACGAAACAATATATTCAATGCGATTGCAAGACTTTTGAAAATTCAAGATTTAAATATTTTTAATCTAGTATACTCTGTCTTGCATTGTAAAATATTTTGGAAAAAGTTGCTTGAGACATTGATTTACAGAAGCTCACCTGTCTCTATGTGCCAATATGTTTTCATTCATAAAGAATTCCATTCCATAAATATACATCATTTCGGATTGCTGTTTAAAGAGTTCAATATCACATTCTGATTTCGAGGATCTAGTTTTTTAAATATATAAGGTGGTCCACTTAACTTGAACACCACAAATATTTCGTTTATCACCAATAACAAGAAAAATATCAGAGGGTAAAATTTCTAAATCACGAGGTCACGATAAATTCGATGACTTGATCTTTGTGTGACCTTGAGTAGCAAAAATAATATTAAGAGTCGTGCAATCATTTGTTTATGGTCTACAGCAATGTATCGAAGTTAATGTACAATGTAGGAATTGTAGGAATTATTTCTTAATTATATAAATTGTCATTAAAGCTTTGGTATTCAAGGTCATACGAAGGTCACCGTATTGCAGATTGTTCGATTCATCTTGACACTTCCTCATCACTTGACGTTATTAAAAATGAATAGTTCCGTGGTATAGAGAAAGATTTGTTAACTTGCCACAGTATTCAACCACTGGAACGTAATCATTAGACTGCGGATTTTTATGGCAAATAAAAGCTTTCTAAGACAAGTGCGTGAAACAGAAAGTAAATAAAAGTGAAATTTCTTTTGTTTATAAGTGTAATATGTCCAAAATAGTGTAACGAATTTCTCAAATTCTTCTAATATCACCACAATTTTGTGGATCATTTATCAATTTTTACGATAAATGCCTAAAATCCGCAGTCTACTAATCATGTTTTGCTATTATCTACCAATAACAAACGAGATATATTTTGCAAGTAAGGTTGACCACTCTATACGTTCAACAATTATTAAACGATAATACTAAAGTTACGTTTATCATTTGGTTAAGGGACGTCACAGGCGATTCGATCTATCGAATAACTCTTTGGTTCTCTAGGGTACTGCTGACACTTCTGGGGAACTGTCGACTAACAAATCACAATCGCAAGCTCACACAGAGATTACTAACTCTCGCACACTACGTTCCTGTCCGGCTACGTGTCGCCCAATCGTATACCAAAGTCCCAAAGTGCCCCCGCGAAGATCACCCCCGGAGACCTCTCCCAAACCAAAGTCATCCGCATCCAAAGAGCTCACCGATGCCAAAGCAGAATCTCAGTCTACCAAAGAAACGAATACGTCGGCTAGTTCCAAGCTCCTCGCGGAGGAGCTCGACAGCGTTCGCGACGTCGACGAAACGAGCGAAATTCTTTCGAAACCGGACTCGACTTCGAGCCCCGCAGAAAGTTGTCTCATGCCATCGGGCAGAACAGCGACAGTTCCAACGACCCTTCAGTTAGAGTCTAACACTACCTCAGCCTTCAACTCATCCGCGAAAGAAGCCACAAAGATCACGTCCCCGCGATCGACGTCCAAAATTCCGACCCTGTTCCCCCGAAAGACGATCAGCGCTAAATCGTCGCCAACGAGTTCCACGTCCTCCCTCAGCCCGCCTGTCTCACCTTCCTCGCCCAAAGCCCCGTCTCTGAAGACGAGAACGTCGACCGCGAAGAGTCCAAGTAGTCAGACGTCGTCGCCTCTGTTCCCAAAAGCCTCGGAGATACCTGTTCCTGTTAGTTCGAATGGTACTGGCACTATTCCATCCGGCTCTTGCATACCTGTCCCGAGCCCCTCGAGTCTGGAGCAATCGTCCCCGGTGTCCTTCGCGAAACACGTTCCATCCCCCCTCTCGACCAGCACGAAACACCAGGTGACGGTGGTTGAAGAGACACTGGCTGCCGATAGACGCCGAACGGTGGTGGAAATTTGCGAAAAGGTGGTGGTACCTCAGGGCAGGACACCTACGACACCTCCAGTGACACCGTTCATCACCGTGGATCGCGTGGCGCACAAGCAGAGCCCGGCGACCGAGGTTAGGATCGAACAGCAATCCAACTGCCCCTCGAGAAAGTCTTAAACACCCCCGGGGGAGTGTGAAAGAGACTACTCGTCTTTGGCTGTCTTCACGTAGCGCGTTGTCTCTCGCCCCTTTTGTCTGTTAGACCTAGCTTCGTCTAACATCCATTAGATCTTGTACATAAGAATGGGCTTAGAACGGGCGCCCCGGTGGTGGGAACTACTCGGTTCACGAAACAGTCTTACGATGCTCGCGGCTTCGACGACGTTCGAAGTCCTGCATTGAGGTCGTCGTTTGAAACGGTTTGCTTGGGGAATCTTTCGGCACATTGATTGGAGGTTGTTTTCGAGCTATCATGGGATCGGCGGAGAGTGTCTACGGACACCGTCTACTAAATTTCGTCCATTTACCTGCAAGGGTAGTCATAACGAGTCATTTTCAGCTTGAGTTTGCGAAGAGTAGACTGCAGATTTTTATGCAAAATAGAAAACGTATGCATTAATTGCAAGTTACAAAATCCAGATAGACGTCATTTTACGTAAATCAGTTTTTAAACTTGTCTTCGCGTGATCGACGAAAGAATATTTACGCAATTCAATTCGTCCGTGGTAGAATTCAATAAAGTTTGTATGGTTCAAAATTATTCTCTGTTAATTCAGTGTGCCCGTGACGTACACTCGGAACATTTTAGCGAGTTGAATATAATGGAACAATATTTTTTACCGTCTTGCATCTAATCTGCTCATTTCTTTTTTCAAATGCATAAAATCCACAGTCTACCGACGAGGCTCGACAAAGTTATATGAACATCTTGAATTTATATTTCTGATCTTTCTATATAGAAGCAATCCAGCTTACGTTTTTACTGCAATCACATGGAAACATGAAGAAGTCTTGCGTTTATTTATATCTATGGCAGCAGCTGCTATTTATCAGACACTGGACCGGATCGGCCAGTATCCGGAAAATGATTTTCGCGTCTCGAGTTCGATGAGAAAAACCGACTCCCGCCACTTAGGGACACCTAGATAATATAACCCGTCTTCGCCTGTCGCTTCCACACATATTTATTATCTTCCATTACGCACAAGTCTCGCTGGAAACGAAGGCGTGAGACCATAGCTAACGATGTAAATAGACGACGCAGGAGCAAAACGTATATAATAACCCCCCAGTATCAAGTAGAATTAGATCAGGTAGCCGGAAACACGTACTAGCCGAAGGTAAAGAACGGTATCGGTTCGAGTAGAGTCAATAATCATGATGACCAGCGCAAAATTCAATGGCCTAATCGGACAGAACATCCATTTTCGACCTATAGCAACAATTCTTTCCGCGACTCGATTGTAAATGATTTTTCTTATTTTCCGAAGTACATTGCATGCGCGAACATCAGGAACTGTTGTGTTCGTGATTATTCCAGTTCTAGTTCATTATACAGGGTGTCTCAAGATTATAGTTCTTTCGAGAAACGATGGGTTCCTGTGGTCATTTGAAGTAATTTTTTCCTTCGCGGAAGTGCAATCCACGGCTTTGTTTACGAGTTATTAACGAAAAACTGTGACCAATGAGCGAACGAAGCCCAGTTCCGGCCGCCTCGCGCCAACTGGATCTCGTCTCTCATTGGTCACTGTTTATCGTTAATAACTCGTAAACAAAGCCGCGGATCGCATTTGCGCTAAGGAAAAAGTTACTTCAAATGATCTCACGAACCCTTCATTTCGCGGAAGTGACATAATTTTGTGACACCCTGTATTTATCTTTTTTCCTACGCTCCAAAAATTTAATTCGGAGGACCTGTGTGATTCTAGAAGTTACAAACTTCTTACAAACTCTGTTTGACATATTCTTTTGACAAACTCGTTGCAAACTTCGTCCGAAAGCATGGATTTATTAACTTTCCTTAACTGAAACATGAATTAGCTTAATATCAACAGTTTGCATGCGAGTTGGGTAGATCTTTTCTAAAATCCATGATAAACGAGTTCCTAAATTTTCCAAATGGTGCAGAACAGTTTATTATCATCTCATCAAAAATTTGTACAATTACTATCCGTGCCGCTAAGAAGAAGCAATTTACAATCATTCGTAACGAAGGTTATCGATATCGAGCGGAAGGATTGTTGTCTGAATTACAGCTTCGAAACCGTCTGGAAACTGTGCAAACGATGCCTAAACAATCGATCGCTACCTAAGTGAAAATCGTAAGAGAACGTTGAGATACGAATCTGCGAATTCTACACGCGACAGTCGTGGAAAATAATAATATAATGGCCATGTAGAAGGGGATCCGTGCATACCATCGCTGTCAATAGTACTCGAAGCTGAAGACATCATTTTCGATTAACTGGTAACCGATCTTGACGCGACCCGTCGACAGTTACGCGCGGATAACGATCGATTCTAGTACTTAGGAGTATGTACGCGGTTAATGGAACAGAGAAAATTCACTGGGCAGAGAAGTTTATATCGTGTCGTGTTGTCATCGTGACCGCAAATAGAATTCAGGTTTCGCCGAGGAAGGGATTTCGAAGCTGGAGCGAAACGGGTTCGCGATCGATAAATGTTTCGAATGAATCGCCGATGCCGAACCAATTGCCGATCTTCTATTCGGTGAACGGATTACGGAGCATCGAATTACGTTTCCGTGAACTCGACTCCATTTTGCGCTTCGATGAATCTCGATTTCGGACTCGTCGAACACGTAGCCAGTGTATGTAATCGAATGTTAGNAGACGACGCAGGAGCAAAACGTATATAATAACCCCCCAGTATCAAGTAGAATTAGATCAGGTAGCCGGAAACACGTACTAGCCGAAGGTAAAGAACGGTATCGGTTCGAGTAGAGTCAATAATCATGATGACCAGCGCAAAATTCAATGGCCTAATCGGACAGAACATCCATTTTCGACCTATAGCAACAATTCTTTCCGCGACTCGATTGTAAATGATTTTTCTTATTTTCCGAAGTACATTGCATGCGCGAACATCAGGAACTGTTGTGTTCGTGATTATTCCAGTTCTAGTTCATTATACAGGGTGTCTCAAGATTATAGTTCTTTCGAGAAACGATGGGTTCCTGTGGTCATTTGAAGTAATTTTTTCCTTCGCGGAAGTGCAATCCACGGCTTTGTTTACGAGTTATTAACGAAAAACTGTGACCAATGAGCGAACGAAGCCCAGTTCCGGCCGCCTCGCGCCAACTGGATCTCGTCTCTCATTGGTCACTGTTTATCGTTAATAACTCGTAAACAAAGCCGCGGATCGCATTTGCGCTAAGGAAAAAGTTACTTCAAATGATCTCACGAACCCTTCATTTCGCGGAAGTGACATAATTTTGTGACACCCTGTATTTATCTTTTTTCCTACGCTCCAAAAATTTAATTCGGAGGACCTGTGTGATTCTAGAAGTTACAAACTTCTTACAAACTCTGTTTGACATATTCTTTTGACAAACTCGTTGCAAACTTCGTCCGAAAGCATGGATTTATTAACTTTCCTTAACTGAAACATGAATTAGCTTAATATCAACAGTTTGCATGCGAGTTGGGTAGATCTTTTCTAAAATCCATGATAAACGAGTTCCTAAATTTTCCAAATGGTGCAGAACAGTTTATTATCATCTCATCAAAAATTTGTACAATTACTATCCGTGCCGCTAAGAAGAAGCAATTTACAATCATTCGTAACGAAGGTTATCGATATCGAGCGGAAGGATTGTTGTCTGAATTACAGCTTCGAAACCGTCTGGAAACTGTGCAAACGATGCCTAAACAATCGATCGCTACCTAAGTGAAAATCGTAAGAGAACGTTGAGATACGAATCTGCGAATTCTACACGCGACAGTCGTGGAAAATAATAATATAATGGCCATGTAGAAGGGGATCCGTGCATACCATCGCTGTCAATAGTACTCGAAGCTGAAGACATCATTTTCGATTAACTGGTAACCGATCTTGACGCGACCCGTCGACAGTTACGCGCGGATAACGATCGATTCTAGTACTTAGGAGTATGTACGCGGTTAATGGAACAGAGAAAATTCACTGGGCAGAGAAGTTTATATCGTGTCGTGTTGTCATCGTGACCGCAAATAGAATTCAGGTTTCGCCGAGGAAGGGATTTCGAAGCTGGAGCGAAACGGGTTCGCGATCGATAAATGTTTCGAATGAATCGCCGATGCCGAACCAATTGCCGATCTTCTATTCGGTGAACGGATTACGGAGCATCGAATTACGTTTCCGTGAACTCGACTCCATTTTGCGCTTCGATGAATCTCGATTTCGGACTCGTCGAACACGTAGCCAGTGTATGTAATCGAATGTTAGGTTAAAAGTTACGCGCATGCGGTACACCGTCGAATGTTTCTATCGAAATTCAGAATTTCCAACGCGTCGATTTTTACCACTGTCTTCGTCGTCGTGAATTGTTCGAAACAGGAATGGAAAATCTGCGGACTATATCCGAAACGTCTGATCATCAATAAAGGGGACATAGTATAAATTTTCAAACTGTATTTCAATGATTTGACTTCCATCGAGCCGGTGACGAAGGTGGCTTCATCGTTTTCCAGGAGTTGCGCAAACATTTGAAAACGTTAGAAATAAATGGACGACTCGGAAGCCGATCAGCGTAAGCCCAACTTTAACGTTGAGATAAATAAGGATTTTGCAAATTAGATGTAAAGAAAGAACACAGTACCGCTAATGATACGAAGCACAATTTTTATTATAATCAAATAAAAATAGAAAGAATTGATGTTAATATTTCATTTTTTTATTTAGCTTTTATTACTTATATTTGTTTTTACAATCCTTTTTTTATTTGTCATTCCGTGATCGATATAAGCGTTGTTACCTATTGTTTAATTAAGAAGAAATAAACTATGCTGATGTATCGATCGAAAGATCCTATGGTAAAGATGAGATTGCATAACTCATGCGTAACTCATTTTCAAGAAAAAACGGACTTACATGAACGGCTTCTGAACCGCCTAAATTATTTGATAACTAAA